AGCCTAGCGTAGCGGTCGAAAAATCCAGGGAAAAGCTTCTTAAAAGGGGCGGGCAAGGCAAAAAACTATTTTTGGCGTGATTTTCGATGGAGTGCCGGGATCCACAACGCGCGCTCGCGGTTTTGTGTTGCGTAATCGGTTAAATAAAAAATAATCGTAAATCTCGCAAAAATGGATATATATTTATTGAAAAAATAGGACAAATATCGCTTTTTTGAACAATTGACCGATTTTCGGTCAAAATTTCGAATTTAAATTTTTTTGTCGTTTTCCCACTTCAGACATAATAACTGATACAAATAATAAGAATGCAATTTAAAAAAGTTTTTGGCCAAAAAGCAAAAAGTTTCGCCGCGACCGGGATTCGAACCCTAGCCCCCAGATTGAGAGACAATCGTGCTAACCACTCGGCCAGGGGGAGAAAATCGGAAAATTTAGAAAAATAAAGTTTAGGATACATTACAGATCTAAAATTATAGAGAAAAGCAGAAAACAGTATTTTAAGGTGGAACGGATGGCAACAATCGATGCATGGCCAAAAAAAATAGTGTGCGCGAGCGGTCGGATCGGGGCAGCAATCAACTGGGGGATGGATACACATACAAGAACCGAAAAGGGATTGGCTTTAACCCGGTAAATTGGGGGGCAGAGCCGTTCGCTCGAATATGGCAGCGGGCAGACTATATTTGAACAGTCAGTCGACCAGTTTAGATTCCTGTGACGACATTACTACATTATACTAGCTTCGCATCAAATATTTAGTTTGGAGCTTTCGCTTTATCGGGGGCTAATTTTTCATAACATTTAATGTTTTCACAGTGTTTCAGCGACATTCGCAGAATTTCCAACTGGAAAAACTACCTAAAAAATCCCAAAAAAAAACACGGAAAGTCGAAATATTGGTGGAAAATTGGCCATTTTTCCTCAAAAATCCATCATTTTGTAGTTTTCAATCACAAATTTGGCTTTTTTTGGCGTTTAGGGGTCGGGCGGGCAGGCTAGCAGATATTCTTTGAGGAATCGGAGGGCAGGCTAGCAGATATTCTTTGAGGAATCGGAGGGCAGGCTAGCAGAGATTCTTTGAGGAATCGGAGGGTAGGCTAGCAGAGATTCTTTGAGGAAATATTTGTACACAATATTTAGAACTCGAAGGGAACACCAAGACGGGCGGAGAATAAATTCCCAATTTTCTCTCTCCAGCTGTTCCCTTCTCTTCTTCCCTCCAGGCGGAAATCCCCTCTTTTTTGGGGGTTTAATATCCGGACCGGATGATTATTATGAGTGGCCCCGATTACAGTAACCCTACGGTCGATCAAAATGAGCAACTTTTAGGTTCGAATATGGCTAAAAATTAAAATATTTTATCTATTTGGCTATTAAAGGAGGTAGAAAGTAAAAAAATGAAATTCAAAGGCCTACTAGCAGAGAGCATTGAGGAATTTCACCTAAAAATGGCGAAGTACCAGGGCATCACGACTGAAATTGCCGGGTCGGCTATTGCCATTCTATACGGCGCCCCCCGGGTACCGTACCCCCTCCCGGTTTCCCAAATAATAGCCAGCTTGGATCAGCGGAAATTTCAGGGTTGCTCCGGAGATGTTCGCAACTATTCGCCTCCCCAAGAAAGAATTCGAAAATAATACAGCAGCGCTTGGCGAACTAGCAGGGATTCTTGCGGAAATTTTCTGAGCCAAAATGCTGAAATGGTTCCTAAAATCTACCTGCTCTACCGTAACCCAATTTCTATGAGAAAATACTCCAAACACGCGATGTTTTTGTGGAATTTAGAAAAATATAAAAAAAATATAAAAATTTTAAAGGAAAAGCGTGAGAACAATTGCAAATTCCGTTCCACTACTACAAATTCCACGCTGAAAATTTGGAATTTTTGGCTTAGAAAGTGATTAAATCGAAAACAAAATCATGATAGAAAAAATCAAGATTAGACATTTAGCCTACAAATTTAATTTTGATTTAAATGGTAGCTGAATAAAATTCATGAAAGCTAAAAATTAATTATGTTAAATGCAAATTTAATAAAATAATTTAAAAACGCTTGAAAGCTTATTTTATCGGTTGTTTTATCAATATTAAAGGCCCAACGTCAAAAAATAAATTTTTAAAAGTTTAAACCGTAAACGAGCGGATTTATGAACTTAACCAACAATTTTAAAAACAGCGAACAATTAACTATTCGATTAATTTGGAATAAGTTTTGCAACTTGGTTACAGTATAATTTAAACAAGTGAATTTAAGTAAGTTTATCGATGAAAACAAATTTTTTAATTTTTTTAAGCTGCGCCCAAAAAGTGATATTTTGATCAAAAACCCACAAAATCGGAGCAGCACAAATTAACAAGTCACACCGGTAAAAGCAAAAAAAATCTCGTGAGTTACGGTAGATTAGCTGGGGGGTGTTGCGAGTATCTCGCTGTATTGTTCTCTCTCTCCCTAATTGGCCACCCCCAACTCATCAGCCATCCCCATCCCACACAGGTGCTTTTTAGCAATCAGAAACTGTGAGAGCCTTATTGCTTCCCCCAGGGGACCCTTCTCCCTCCCCCCGAAAATGCATCTGCTCCGAGTCACTCGGAAATGTTCAGCCCCTCGGCCCCTGGACGCTCGAAAAACGCGTTTCGGGGATTTTGGAGGTGCGCTAGGTTGTCGAAGGCGTAAAATTAAGTTCTAAAGGTTGACAATAAATTACAAACTGAATTGTCTAGCCAAAAAGCAAAAAGTTTGTCGCGGCGGGGAATCGAACCTGGCCTTGTGGGCGATAGGCGAGAGCTTTACCAATTGGCCACGCGTCACAACGGGCCCAAAATCTGAATTAAGCTTTTAAAACGAAAATCTTTATGTTAAAAGTAGGTTTTTGGGCCTGGATTTGAGATAGGACCTTCTAAAAAAATTTCATATCCAAAAACGAGCCCCAGGTGTTGCTGAAACCGAGTTTTTGGCTTGGTTGTTGACTTGCTTATATTTATCACACAGACACGCCGGGCCGGATGGGCCAGAAGGAGCAAGGGGAGACAACGCGGCGATAGATAAGTGCCGCGTATCCAGGGGAAAGAAAAGAAGAAGTAAAGAAGGCCTGAAGAATCCCCCAGTCGATCAGCCGTTCCAGTTCCAGTCATTCCGGCCGCCCCCAGCGGGTTTTGAAAATGGCCAAAATGTCTGAGGAGCAACATCGCATCTTGATAACAATGTTTGGCCCGGGAAAACGTAGAACACTACGTAGTTCGGCGGAAAAGCAACAAATTTCGCGCGGTCTTTATGTGCTTTATGTACCGAATTCTTAATATGCTCCGCAGATCCTCAATAGTGACGATAAACTACTTGAATAGCATTTTCCTTTTTCTATGTAATTAAACAATAGTAAAACTGTTCTATAACTTTTTATTAACCGGGAACTACTGAAAGCATTACAAAAATATTTTCAATGACAATTGAGTTTCCACGCGGGATCAAAGCTTATCTGGTGCTGAATTTTGCGCTGATTCTGATGTTGTTTGCAAAATCTGCGAAACGACGAGGCTAAAGAAGTTCGGAAGCGTTGCATGCAAAAAAAGGCTTTAACTGTTCGAACCTCGAGTAAATTTTTTGCAGTTTTCGCATCTAAAAGTTTCATAACTTTCAACTTTCATTATTTTGAAAACAGGATCGGAATCAGCGCGACATTTTACACAAGATACGCCTGGTCGATTGTAACTAAAAAGCGTCCGCCTGTACGTGTTTCCGGCATAATTCATCTGAAATCCTACTATCCTACTATATATAAAAAAATAGTGTTTGTGTGTGTGTGTGTGTGCCACTTTGCATGCAACTTCCGTCAGCGTGTTCCAGTACTATCTCAATAAGGGGGGTAGTTAGGGGTATGTATGATACGTCATTAGGTGCGTAATGGGCTGGAGATGACTGCACACTTATAAGATTTTACAAAATCAGCTCTTTTCAACGTTAAATTTAAGTTTTTGTAAAAATTTCGGACACCCTCTTTGTTAGGAAAAAATTAACATACGCCGCAGTGATGATAGCCTATATAAAGGGAGAGAGGCCGCATTTTCATTTTTTTGCCATCTGTATTCGGGAAAATGATGTAAAATGAAGAATTTCATGGGATCGACGGGGCCAGGGTTGAAAAGTCGCGAAGCGGCTTTTCAACCCTGGTTTATCTCAAAAAATATGTCTAGTGTCTGTTGTCTGTGTGTGCTTATCCACTTCCCACTGTTTTTGTCAGAGGATATCTCCCAAAAAGGGAGGGATGTTTACCTCCGTTCGATACGTCATTAGGTGCGTAATGGTCGAGGGAGGATGATTCCATCATCGGTTTTTGAAAAATTGGCCATTTCTCTATAACTTAGGTTGGGTTTGTAAAAACGAAACTTTGGCCATAATTACAAAACCGGAAGAGTGGACGGTCTTATATATAAAGGCAGATCGGGGTTGTTTTTCACATTTTTTTCACCCATTAAGGACAATTATGCAAAGGGAGGCAATTGCAAGGGGTGCCATAACGGGGGTCCAACCCGGGCTACTGGGTTGCCGCGTCAAGCCGCCTTTTCAACCCTGGTTTTAAATTAAATTTTCTTAGCTTAGCAGCGCTTTTTCGGGTGTGAACGACTTAAAAAAGAGCAGGAATTTTAAACGAATAACCGAACCAAAAAGTTGCAACATTACCGCCAGAGCGCTGAAATAAACGCCGACGCCGTGATCCCGAAATCCCGAAAATCTGGCAATCTGCGTCCCGAGGGATTATCTGTCTCGCGAGGATCGCCGAATAAAGATTAGCCGCCCCGGATGAAGGCCACGCTGTTTCACCGTTCATCCCTGCCAACGCGTCTCCCGCCACCAGGGGAAAGCCCAAAAATGGTTGGCTTTAAAACCCGCAACTTTTATTTCGAGAAACAACGGCAACAAATAGACTAACTACGGAACTACTCAACAATAAACTATCAATTTCGATGCCGCTTTGTGCGCATGAAAAATTAAATTAAAATTAATCGATTCGCGATGAAGTGTCCATCACGAAATCCTCTTTCTGCTTGGCGGCCAGCTTTCGCCTTCTCTCCATCAATTTCCGCATTGAGGGCTTCGTTCTGGCGAAGGGCTCGTCGGCATCGGCTTCTTCCCGCGTCTAAATACAGGGGATTCTGGTGCGTTAGCGGGGGGGGGGGGTAACAGAGACGAACGATATTTTCCCTAATTCCTCGCCGAGCCGGAATAATCAAGAACAAACTATTCAATAGCATTGTAGACAGTTTTAGTTATTTTAGTGAAATTTTCGAAAAATCTCGATTTTACAAAAAAATGGTATAACAAATTGACAAACATTCCAATGTTGTAAAAATATTTTTTAAAGAAAACTTTAACTATGGATTAAAGATAGATTCCGCTGAATAAAGGGCGACGCCCTCCCCCGATAATGCTAAAGAACCGTGAATCCACAATTCTTACCCTTCGGTCCAGCAGCTTGTAGATTGTCCACTCTTCTGGCGTCACTCCGGCTACCTAAAAAATTATGGTTGCAACGTGACTCCAAAATCGCACCTGAATCGCAAAATTCTCATCGTCCGAGTCGAGAATCCGGCGCAATTCCGGATTTTCCGTCCGGATCTGCGGGTTCTTCTTATCGGGGAAGGTGTATCTAAAACCGGCCATGTGAATTACTGAACCGCCAACCTTCCGGCTTTTAACAAAAAGCCATGTCTTTGCATAATCTCGTCCAAATCCATTTCCACCCAACTTGAGCACCCGATGAATTCTTCTCCTTCTAAGCCCATCTGAAACACAGTTTTTTTTCAGCCATAGCTCATCCTATACCTGATAAAAGATATACTCATATTTCGGCTCCAATTCCTCAAAATTTCCCAGCAAGATCTGTGGCGTTTGCTTGATGAGGTTCGTCAGCTGCAATTATTCATTAGCCACCCCGCTCCACTCCCCTTCAAAAGCACCTGCTTTTTCGAGAAAAATGAACGCAACGATTCGTAGAGCTCCTGCATTTTTCGGCCGTCTTGTACGAAAATTATTGGGGGGAAGCGGCGGACGAGTTCGCCGAGCTGAAAAAGGTGTTGACTTTTAGGGGTCATTCTAAAGATCGAAATTCATAATATCGAGATTTTATAATGTCGAAATTTAACAAATTACATAAGCGAATTTCCCGGTAAACCCGCCGAACCCTATACAAAAAATTCGACGTTATGAAATTTCGGCATTATGATTTTCGACATTATGATAGAAATCGACTTTTAGGTAACGGATTTACCTCATCTCCAAACTCCACGCCAGTGATATTGAGAAGTGTTTGGAGACAATTTGAAACATTCTCGGCGGATTCGATTTGGGAGAGGTCGTAATCAACACTCAAACCAGCATCAATTTTGTAGCCCTTTTTCTACCTTTTCAACGCCAGCAACGCTTCCTCAAAGCTGTACGTGCAATACTCCACCAAAATCTAAACTCAAAATTATGGCAAGAAAAAGGATGCGTCACCTTGCAAATCTTCACGAGGCGCTCGTTTGTCTCCTCGCTGAGCATCGTTTGCAGCAAATGCTCGGATTGACTACATTCGGTGATGAGGAAGCTGGGCCGAACCCCTAAGGGAATTCGATTAAAACCCGTTAATCTGCAAGTTACCATTTCCAAGCAATTTCTCAAAGATCGGCGACAACAAATCGAGTAATCTCTCTTCGGGGAGGCTGACGACACAATTACGCTCCGCCAGGTCTCTGAAAAGTACGAAGGTTTAAGGTTCAAAGCTCTTCCTAACAGACCTTTTTATTCGTTGTATCATCGGCCGTCCAAATATCAATTCCTCCGGATTATAGATGATACCGATTGGTGCCTAAAAATAAATAAAAACTCGCGGAAACCAGACCTCGACCGGCTTTTGGGGACGATGTTGTCGAACATACGAATCCTAAATCAAAGGGTTTTCGGGCTGTAATAATAAAATACCGATCTGGAGGCGCTGGCCAGCTCGCGAAAATTTCGGGATAACGAATTTTGCGATGCTCGTAATATCAACATTGCCCGATACATCTTCTGTAAAATAAACGGGTGCTGGTTTGTTAGCGAGGGGGGGGGGGGTGCAAGCAGAAAACTCAATTTTGCTTCATTTTTCTCTCATGACCTTAGAATTTTGCAAAACCTCGTCTTTTTTATCAAAGATGCCAAAAAATATTTTGAACAATTTTCCATAGCTTTTCAGTAATACGGTAGCATTTTTCAGCCTTTTTACATCTAAAAATGCACAAAACCTTTCCAAAAATGATAGAGTTTTAGTTTTCTACAAAGTTTTTAAAACCTTTTTGGTAATTGGAAATGGCTAAAATCTATATCAATAATCTTTTTTGAACATAATAGTGATTTGACTGAATAAAATAAGATAGTCCTCCGCGCTGATGAATTAGAACCGCAAAACTCAGCTCTTCTTCCAACTATATAAGGTAGCACTTTTCTCTGAACCAAATCAAATGTGTGAAAATCGTCATCGCTTGAGATCAAACCAGTTTATTATGCCAAATTCTGAATATGAATATTATTATGCGACCGTAAACGCGAGATGATCAGTATGGCAAATGCACAGTGGGAAGATTTAGGGTACAATCTCAAAGATTCCTAAAAACTGGAAATGTTGAGGAGCGACCAATGGATTAATGGCAACTGCATTATGCGAATGAAAGGACCGTGTGTGGATCGACAAATGAGATTCTGCAATGAAAGCCGAAAATAAATAGGACACCTGCCCGCGAAATATACACACAGAATAAATCCAAAAATAAGGAGAGGAAGTAATTTAAAAATTACAAAAACACTTATTTCATCCTCATCTGGTACTCGCCATTTTGAGTGATGTAGCGCACCCAGGGCAATGATTGATAGCCACTTTTCTCGGTGATCTTCAGGTAGCGGACCTGAAGGAAAAAATTAGAACTTCTCAAATTCGTTGGGAATATCGGAGGAGTGACTTTTTCTATTTTTATATAGCTAAAGCAATAAAACTGTACAAATTTAATAGAAAAATAGAAATACAAAAAATTTTCTGCCAAATCCCAAATTTTCAGTAATTTTTTAAGTTTCTAAATCTTTTCGGGTCAAATAAAAAAATAATAATTATAATAATATAATAATTTATTTCTCGCACTTAGGTTTACAAGTAAACACTTATAAGTTATGATAATATTTTCCATTACATTACTAGCGAAATCCCCACTTATAGATGAGTTTCCGAAATTAACAAACCTGGATTCCGGAAGTCGTAAAATACGGGATCTCGAATTTCACTTTGATCGGCGGGCGCCCCTCCGATTCTTCACGGACGACGGAAGGCAAGGAAAAGTGCGCCGAGAGCAGGTATTCCTTACCGCCTAAAACAAAATAAAATTTCCATTAAAATTCAATACCGGGGAAACTTTTGATGGTCCATACAAATGCTGACTGTTCGGGGGTGTAGCGCACGCTGCCGATGCTTGTTTTGAACTTTGGGGAATCAGCGTCGGAGGGCACCGGGATGATGACCTAAAAGAGAGATATGTGTAAGAAATATGAGAAACTTAGGTTCTTTTGCATTATTGGGGGGTTTAAACTTTTGCTATTAGAGCAGAAATGTCTAGTAACGTATTATTACGCACTTTAATAGCGTTTTGAGTAAATTCAACGATATTTCTAGTGCAAAACTATCTAAAAAAAACTATAAAAACTTTCCAAATTTGACATTATGGTCGAAAAAGCCATCGCAAAATTTGCATATTTTTTACGTTTAGGAATAGCAAAAAAGTCGAAAAAAGCCTTATCTATTTATACTGCAAATTGGAACCAAAAGAAACTCCCCTCTCCCCGATAATGCCAAAGATCCGGCGAAACTCACCTCAACATTATTAGCTGTTGATCTTCGTTTGAATTGAGATTTCGCCTTGATCATATATTCCACTCGGCTGTGGGAATGCCGCTCCACAGAGGTCTCGATCCAGATCAGCGGCTTTACAACGGTGTTTAGCCTAGAGTAAAATTTACGAAGCGAAAAAGATATTACCGATAGCTCATCAATTCAAACGAGCCGTCTGGAGGTATAAAAGCAATCGTTCGATCACTCTCAAATCTTGACAACCGCACGCATTGATGGAATTTGACGTCCCCCAGTTCGACGGACTTGCTCTTTCCGCCTAAACAGCTGATAGCTGATTGATTTTTCATACTGTGGGCTTAAAAGGCCGTCCGCGACTCATCCGAACAGGCCCCATTATACCCCTGGCACAGTTTTTTCGACCTCATTTTTATGACGTCATCTGAAAGAGCGTGGTCGAATTAGTAGGGTGGTATGGTTTTCAAAGTTTAAAAAGTTTAATTTTGGGGTTAAAATGGACCTCAAAGTCGCCGGCATCGAAAAATTATCTCAAAAAATACTGAACCGAATTTACTGAAATTTTGCGCCAAGACCTAATTTGGGACGGGGATCATTTCTCTAATACATTGTGAAGCATGAAAATGGCCGGAACATGGTTAAATCGCGTACTAAAAACAGTTTTTCGACATTTTCGACATTTTAGGGTGGTTTGCGAAAGCTGACTATTACACGAAAAGATGCGCCATATTTTTCCGCATCGAATGATGTATAGCTTATCGAGCGCGAACCACCCTAAAAAATTAGTTTTATTCGCTTTTATCTGTAAAAATGTGGATAAAAATGACCCCAAAAAATAAAAAATTTTGATTTCGAACAATCTGAGGTATCGGATGACATCTAGAGACCGAGACGAGTCGATTGCAAAAAAGAGCAAAAAGAAATTCGGCTTCCATCGATGTCGTGGAATCGAACCCGGACCCTCCGCCTGGGAGCCCTGTGGCGCAATGAGTAGGGCGTCGGCGTACCAATCCAGAGGTGGCGCCAGTTCAATCCCAGCCCCCTCCAAAAAGCTGAATCTCTTTTTGCTCTTTTTTGCAATCGACTCGTCTCGGTCTCTAGATGTCATCCGATACCTCAGATTGTTCGAAATCAAAATTTTTTATTTTTTGGGGTCATTTTTATCCACATTTTTACAGATAAAAGCGAATAAAACTAATTTTTAGGGTGGTTCGCGCTCGATAAGCTATACATCATTCGATGCGGAAAAATATGGCGCATCTTTTCGTGTAATAGTCAGCTTTCGCAAACCACCCTAAAATGTCGAAAATGTCGAAAAACTGTTTTTAGTACGCGATTTAACCATGTTCCGGCCATTTTCATGCTTCACAATGTATTAGAGAAATGATCCCCGTCCCAAATTAGGTCTTGGCGCAAAATTTCAGTAAATTCGGTTCAGTATTTTTTGAGATAATTTTTCGATGCCGGCGACTTTGAGGTCCATTTTAACCCCAAAATTAAACTTTTTAAACTTTGAAAACCATACCACCCTACTAATTCGACCACGCTCTTTCAGATGACGTCATAAAAATGGGGTCGAAAAAAACTGTGCCAAGCATAGTTCGGGTCTCTCACAAACGGCCTTTTAACGCCACTTACAAAAATCGGCCCAATTTTCCACAAAACAAACACCTACGTCCGCTGCCCTCAAACAGCACTTTATCATTGAGGCCGAGACGCAACTCGGGCATCCCGGTCAGGTAGACGCGCATCTTCACGACACCCACGATTTCGGATTGGAGAACAGTGCCGTTTGCAGAGGCCTGAACCATTTTTCGCCTATGTTTTTGCCCTCTTATTTCTTGTCTTTCTTATCGCTTTCCGTTGGAGACCTACCAGCATATTAACGCTCTCGATAACGTCCAGAAACACCTCATTTTTCCGATATTTTATCCCTTCGCTTCGCCAGCTGACCGCATTGGTGACGGCCATCGGTGGCCGCGGCGCTTTTTCGAGCTTGTGATACTCTTGGGTAATATATCTAAAGATCACTGGGTCAAAATATCCAAAATCTGCTTACAATTGTAGAATATTGCTGTCCATAACTTGCGGGAATCCAAAATCCATCATCTCGTCGAGCAGCTCGTACACCACGACAAAGTTGTCGCGCACCGACTCTTCTTCCACCTCTTTGAAGTAATCGGTGAAAACCTAAGATGCTGGTTAAACTTTAATAAAAGCTATTACCTCGACTGATTTGTAGAGAAAAGACAGTACTAGTGAGACGTTGACGTTTGTTCGGCACGTTGAAACGACTGAAAATTTTTATAATTCGATCGGTCGCTCGGGATTTCTCGGATTAAGGTTTTTGGTTTTTTGAAAACCTACAGTAAAGGTTGCTGTGCTTGATGAAGACGAAGGTGGCCTCGTGATGGATGAGGATCGGAGTAACCATGCCTTCCTCCTCTTTTTCCACGAGCAGCGGCATGAACTTGTCGATGACGCCCATATCGACATCACCCCGATAGTTCCGGGCGATAATCACCTAAAAAATGGTATCTACGGCTATTTTAAATACAAAGAATTAGAAAGCTCAACTCTTACCTTCCCTTTGAGGTCCAGTAGGAAGATCGCCGATGATGCCATGACGACGAGCGGACCTGTAAATTTATTTTCGTAAAAACATCGTGTATCAGCCGCAAGGAAAGTAATTGGAAAGCTTAACCGGTACAAATGAAAAATTCTAGATGACGATAGCGAGCATGACTTTTGTAAAAATTCGTACATACAACCCTAGACAATGGAAAGGGGTGAACACTTTGAAGCGGCAAATCGGTCAACAAGTTGGAACAGTGAGTGATATAAGGAAAACGCAGAAGACAACATGTCGAATGGGCACAGGCAAAAAGTCGAAATGTAATGAGAAAAGGGCTTAAAAGGATTAATATCCGCTGGCTTAACGAGCGTAACGGCGAATGTAGTCCTGAACCTTCATCGTGAACTCGTTCTTGTTGCTGGTGTATTGCTTGGCAGCTTCCATATTCAGGGCATCATCAAAATCCATGAGATCGCCGAAAAGCGATTGGAGCCCGTGGACCACTTCGAGGATATTTCGCGTTGGCCGCCATCCAAAGTCATCAACGGCATTTTCGCGGAGCAACGACAGGCAAATCGAGCCATCCTCGTTGATATTTGGGTGCCACACCTTCGTTAAGCATTTCACGTGCGGCGGCACCGTGTTGTACTCGAGCGGGACGGAAATGTGGAACTTGTAGGTGCCGCCCTTGTAGAGCCCTTCCTGGGGCGTAATTTGGAGCTCGATTTCGTGCAATGCAGGCGATTGGGTGAATCGAACGCGGCAGACGTTCTGGTTCCTCAAATTCTGGTCGAGCTCCTTCACCTCCTGGGCCAACAGCTTGTCGCGGATGACGTTGTGCTTCTCGCGGTAGTTCTTGTCCTCATCGACGCCCTGCATACGCTTTTGGAGGTTCAGCATCTTCCTGAAAAATGGGATTTATTTTAAGTTAATTAGGGAAAGATTCAGTGGAAAACCATCGAAAAATTGGAGGGGAAATGTGAGCTAATGATGTAAGGACTAAATGACAATCCATTGACCTTTATATCAAAGCGGTAATTATTGATTTTTTTAAAGTTTTGAAATGACTTTGTCGATTAGTGTTTTCTCACATTGCGCCCTCGCCAATATAAAGCACGCTGCTCGTTGCGCACAGCGCAGCCGATAGCGGCGGCGATTGTATTGGCGCGTCGTCGCCACAGACTTGCAAAGCTTAGAATTACTGTAAGTGCTAAATAAAGTGGAAAAATTGGGATTTTATGTTTTTCACGATAGATAGAAAAGAAATGATCGTAAAGTACAAATTTTTATAGACCCAGAACTTCAATTTATCCCCAAAATCTCAATCCAAAAGAAAACGCGTCGGATCTCCATGGTAACACGCAGCCAAGCGGTAAAAGGGACATTCCATTTGCTATAAAATCAAAAACTTTTCGAGCTAATAAAATGTCTTTCGTCCCGATTAAAGATGGCGAATTCACCAGTACTATCTACGGCATGGTAAGCGAAAAAAACATAGTATTTTTACAGGGCTTTTCAGCGCCGCTTTTAGCTACCAAAACTTTTTTTAGATCAAAGACAGCAAATTCACGGAAGTGATGCGTATCTTGCAGTATGAATTGCAGCGTAGCCCAGCGGTAAGTTATAATTTTACCTAATAGCTACTTATACTGGTTCTTTGGCATTATCGGGGGCGGGGGGTATCTTCCCAAAAGTCCAGAAATTCCTATTGACATAATAGTAATAGTTTTAATCGTTTTTAGTAAAGTTTCACTATTTTTCAGGCGAAAACTAACCAAAAAAACACTTGCAGTTCTGAAATTTTCGTCAAAAAGCGGCCATTTTTGGTCGGAAAATCGATATTTTTTTGTATTTGTCAAGTTTCTACCTTTCAAAATAGTAAAAACAAGCTAAAAACACTTTGGTATAGCAATAAGGTTACCTAAATTTAGAATCGAGCCGCGCTGTCACTACTCGGCTATTGCCAATACTACACCCAAGATTTCCACGGTGCCGTCGAGAGTTATGAACAATTGACGCAGCTCTACCCCGGTTTTCCCGAGTACAAATTGTATTATGCACAGTCGCTGTATAATGCTTTTATGTTTCCAGAAGCAATGGCCGTCGCTTCAACTGTAAGTTTTCTGGGTTTTTTGCTAGTTTATTTTTCAGATCGAAGACCCTCGATTTCTGGGGGAGGTGATCAAGCTCGAAGCTGCGATCAAGTATAGGTAAAGGTTTGAGCTTAAAAAAGCTAGATATAGTTATAATTATACAGGCTAGGCCGCTTGTGTGAATATTAATAACTTTCTAGCCATTAAAAACCACTAAAAACGCTATGAGAATATAGGTTTTTGCACCATCACCATTCGCATATTTCTTTGTAAGCGCGAGAAATTTCTAGTAACTAAATTTTAAGTATTTTAATAACGTTTTTAGCAAGATTTAACTCTTTTCAAGAGGGAAGCTATCCGAAAACAACAAAAATGTAAAAAATTGAAATCTTGCTCAAAAAGCAGCCATTTTTGGTCGAAAACTCTATATTTTTGTATAGTTTAATAACGCTTAATAATGTTTTTACGTTTAGGAATAATAAAAACAGCGTAGAAACACTTTTTGTATTGATATTCGGGAAATTTGATCACGAGCTAGAAAAAAATTTTTTTAGGGAAGAAGACTTGACAAATGCTCGGATTCTCGTCGAACAATTCCCCCAGGATGACGCGGATATTGAAGTGAATTTGGCGTGTTTGGATTACAAGGTTTTTACAAGTTAAATAACTAATCAACTTTTAGGAAGCGCACTACGACAAGGCGCTAGAACGGTTCAACCGTGCTACCGGGACTTTTGGATATCAGGCAAGCTTGAAGTACTTACGTAAGTAATATAGCATTTTTAGCCGGAACTGGCTTACGCACAAGCGTTGTGTCACTATCGAAAGAAGGAATACCCGCAGGCACTGAAGTACATCTCCGATATCATCGACAAGGGTGTCAAGGACCATCCTGGTAAGTTAAAATTCATAAAAAACTAGCAGAGATCTCTTGGAAACAAAAATTATGTATTTTGAGCGTATTTTTATCATTATTCACACAAATATGGGAGTACACATCGTCCGAAGGAAGAGCGATAATAGCCGGTCTCACAGTGGCAAGCCCCTAGTTGGCATTCTTCGGCACAACCCTAAATTCACGAAAATAAACACATCGCAAGGGATGAATCCCTCAAAAAACACTTCCCCGCACCTTTTCATCATCGCCACATTGCGGTTCACACGCATTCCCGCAACTCGCGAAATATTCATTTGCGCCGCACTCTAGAAATTTGGTTCTGGCCTGTTAGCGGGGGGGATCGGAATTCGCCCTATCGCTTAACAAGTAGGGTTCTAATAAGGGAATGAATACCATTTTTACACCTTTTTGCGCCGTTTTTAAGTGCAGAAAATTAATAAAAACTTCGCGACATTTTCTAGAACGTTTGATTTAGCCAAAATGGCCAAAATTTCAATTTCTAAAAAAATGTACTTTTGTCTTCCTAATCGATTTTTCTAATATAAACACAAGAAGCGTTTCTGCCCTGTACTTTATATTAATAAACGTAAAAACTTTACAAATGATGATTCTAACATAAAATCGACTAGAAATGACCAATTTTTGACCAAAATTTCAAAATTTACGAAGTGTTTTAGATGGTTGCCACTTGAAGTATAGTTAAATTTTACTAAGGGCATTATTAAATTATTTTTTAATACATTATTGAGGATTTCGTGACTTATACAAAAAAAATTGCCAAGATGCCCTACTTTACCCTGGTCTTGATTGATGCCCATCGACAGTATTAATGGGTTGATCCCCTCATCGGCCGAGGGTTCGGCTATCTAAAGATTGTTAAAATATTTAGGTGTTTAGGCGTTATCGGGGGGCTTTGATCGTTATTTTTTGTTTTTTTTTAATAGGTTTTTAATAAAATTACAATATTTATAATGGAAAATATATCTAAAAACTTTAAAAGTTTATTTTTTATAATCGAAATCTGACGAATTTATCAAAAAATCTTTATTATTTGTATTTTTTTACTAAAAATTTGTAACGTTTTAGTTTTAGTATATTAAAGAAAAAAGTTGACCCCCCGATAACGCGAAAGAACCTTGAATAGTAAATCTAAAGTCTCACCGTTACTTCCTCGGCAATACTGGTATCATTTTGAGCAGCCGCTAGCAGCAATATGGCACACAAAAATAGGGAGCAGCGGAACATTTTGGATTTTAGCACGAGATTGAGGGGCTGGGGCTCATTTGCCAAGACAGTGTGGAGAACGGGCGTGATAGGAAAGTGGGAGGGGGCCAGTGAGATCCGGAAAATGATGGATTGTTGCTGCCAGGTCGACCGTTCCGCGTGAATGATCTTGGAATGCATAAATTGAGGTTTCGTGGTTTATTAGGACCAGAACGGCAAATTGCAGGAATCTAGTGGCAAAAATGGTACTTTTCTATTATCGGAGGGGGGTGCATTTTTTTATGAGCGCAGAAATGCCTAGTAGTGTAATAGTAAGTATTTTACTGGTGTTTAGTAAAATTTAGCAATATTTCAAGTGACAAAACTTTAAAAATTTTAAAATTCGAATTTTGGTCGCAATTCGGCCATCTTTATGGAAAGATCGATATTTTTTGGTATCTTTTAACCAAGGATCCTAAAAGTTTCTAAAAAAATTTTTAATTGCAAAATTTCTGCATTTCTTACCATTTTTGAAGCAAAATAGGACAAAATTCTTTTGATTTTTGATTTTTTGATGTAATGAAAAAGTGTATCAATGTTTTTACGCCACCGCTTTAACGTAATTTCAGAATTGCACGTTGGTATGGTGACGGAAGGGCTAGATGTGCGTTCGGTTGGGAATAGTCTACTTCTCCACGAGACCGCCCTCATCGAGGCGTGCAATTTGAAGTTTGCCATCGAGTATCGCCTCAAGAATTGTCAGTTTTTTACGTACTTGACTTCCTTTAAAATTTACTTTTATAACCTTTTAACTTTTAACTTTTTAAAACGTACTTTCTTTTTAGTGGACGCGGCCTCAGAGGCGCTGACGGATATGCCGCCGAGGAGCGAGGAGGAATTGGATGCCGTTACTTTACACAATCAGGTATTCTATAAATTGATCTTACAATCGGAAATATTGTGCTGATTCTGTAGTGTTATAACGTTTTTTGGCTCTTTTGCAATATCGGGGGAAGGGGTGCTCTGGGTTGTTGTTTGAATAAGTCCGCAATGGCTAGTAACGTAAAAGTATGTATTTTGGTTTTAGTTTAAGTATGTATTTTAATAGTTTTAATAGTATTTAACTATATTTGAAGTCGAAAAGCTATCTAAAACTTAAAAATTTTTTAAATATTGGAAAAAAAGATTTTTTTTGGATTTTCATAAGAATTTGGAAAGTTTACAGGTTTGAGACTAACAAAAAAAGTTTAGAAACACTTTCGCTATTTCTCATAGAAAAATTTGATCCTAAGAAAAAGGCTCTTCCCCCCGATAATGCAAAAGCTCCTTTTTCCAGGCCCTAATCGGTATGGATCTCGCGCCGGGTGATGGATTCGCAAAGTTGCAGTATCTGCTCAGCCAGGTATCGGTCTAAAAGTTTTTATTAGCTTTTAGAACCCATTTCCTCCGGAAACTTTCGCCAATCTACTATTGTTGTACTGCAAATATGAGGTATAAATTGCAGTAGTTTTTATGTGTTTATTATATCTAAAACAATGTGCAGTACCAAACTTTTAGTACATCGACCTGGCGGCAGATGTACTTGCCGAGAACGCGCATCTCACCTACAAACATTTAAGCCAGGTACGTTTTTTCGGGAATTTTTTCCAAGTTAAACAAGGTTTTATTTAGCATTTTAGAGTTCTAGATATATTTTTTAGTATTTATACGACTACCTGGACGCGGTAATCAACATGCAAACCTCACCGCTCGACGCATACCAGAAATTCGACGCGATGGGCCAGGATGTGACGAACGAGCTGAGGAAGTTGACGAAACGTGTCCAGGTTTATTACATGTTTTATAGACTTTCAAGATCCATTTTTCCAGGAAATTCGCCAGACGGCCGATGATGATCAGATCCGGAAGGCGGTAGACGCGTACGATGAGGCGTTGGAGCGGTAATAGCTTTGAATTTTTCGGTGCTGTTACGTTATCGGGGGAGGGCTTTTAAAAATAAAAGTTTTTGAATATAAATAAAGTCGGTATTTTTGAAACCTAAGCGCAAAAACTACACATTTTTGGCAAAAAAAAAATACAAAATGTCGATTTTTCAAAACAAAAACCGTCGATTTTCTAGCAAAATTTCAAATGTATGAAATTTTTAGATGGTTTTTCCGCTCGAAATACAGTAGCAAAAACGCAAATTAAAATACTGAGCTGTTTTCGCTACTCCCAAACCAAAAAAAACAATCGCATTTTTACAGACTATTCAATTCTACTAAACTTCTAAACCTTTTTGATTTCTAAACTCGTCATGAAGTTACTAGGCATTTTTAGAATCATACAAAAAATTTCGGTTCCCCCCGATAATGCACAAGAACCAAAATATGTCTTTATGGCTCAAGTCTAGGAAACCCCCCCCCCAGCCACAACTTTTCAGCCATGCGTCCTATTAATGCGCCGAGTTTCTCAAAATGTTCGCCATGGTCGAATTACTATAAAAAACTTGTTTCCATGCACCAAAAATTGTTAGAAAATTTTTTATAGCAATTATAAGTCTGGGTTTTCTTTAGTAAATTTTTGCTGTTCCAAAGTGAGTTTTCGTATCTCGGCTATCTTTTGACGTGCAGAGCTGTCAATAGTACCAAAATGTAGCTCTTGCTCTGGAGAATAAGGCTACAGTACATTTGAATCGAAAAAAATAGCGAAAAAGGAAAATAATTGAGTTTTAAACGCTTAGTACATTGAGGCATGGCGACTCAATATTTTCACATTTCAAAATCTTGTAAAAAATTTTCTAACAATTTTTGATGTATGTAAGCAATTTTTCTATAGTAATTGGACCACGGCGAACATTTTGAGATACTCCACGCATGAATAGGAGGTATGGCTGAAAAGTTACGGCTGGGGGGGTTTCCTAGACTCTTACCGTCTTTATTTTCAATATTTCAGATATCTTCCCGTGCTAATGTCGCAGGCGAAAATCTATTGGGACCAACAGGACTACAGCCAAGTCGAGAAGATTTTTAGGTGAATTTTGATAACGAAAATGTTCTAGTTATTTTTATTTTTTCAGAAAATCCGTCGAATTCGCGAGTGAGCACGACGTCTGGAAGTTGAATGTAGCACATACGCTTTTCATGCAAGTAGGTGTAATTTGGAAAGTTCAGTAGATTTTTCAGGAGCAAAAATTCAAAGAGGCTGCCGGTTTCTACGAGCCCATCGTCAACAAGCACTACGATAATGTGGGTGTTGATTGGCGACGCTTTTGGTGCTTCTGCATTATCGGGGGCGGGGTCCTATAAGCCCAGAAATGCCAATTAAATTAAAGGAAAGTATTTAAATAGTAATTTTAGTAAAAATGTAACTATATTTTAAGCGAAAAACTATCTACAAAATATTTTTAGAAAAATCGAAATTTGGTTTGAAAAATCGATCTTTTTCTTTTTTTTTTAATAAAACTGTGTAAAGTTTTTACGTTTAGGAATAGTTAAAACAGTTTATAAAACCTCCTCTATTTATTTTAGAAAAATTCGAGCCTAAAGAAAAAAAATTATACTGGACTGTTAGCGGGGCGGGGGGGGGGAGGGCTAATTTTTATTTTTTGGCCTGAATTTACCTTCTAATAACATATTTACATGCTTTATAATATTTTTGCAATTTTTATTGCTAGAAAGGTTTTAAAAAATATGAAAATTTTGAGCGTTCTGTTCCATTGCTACATTTTAAAGCACAAACGCAAAAATTTTGCCATTTTTTTGAACTTATGGATGATTTTTATACCTAAACTGTCTAAATTTCTTTAAAATTGTTTTTTAATCATTTCGTTATATACCGGTTTGGGATTAATGGAAAAATTGTCCCCCCGCTAACAGACAAGCGCCCAAAAATTGCATAAAACCATTTCAGATCCTCGAAATCTCGGCAATCGTGCTCGCCAATCTCTGCGTTTGCTATATAATGACGAATCAAAATGAGGAGGTAGGTAAATCGATTGGAATCATTAAAACTACCTATTGTATTTAAAAATTAGTTTAATTTAATTTAATATGCGTAAAATTTTGTTTTTCAGGCAGAAGAATTAATGCGAAAGGTGGAAAGGGAAGAGGAAGCGATCGGGGACACGAAAAAGACATTCCATTTGTGCATCATTAATCTGGTGATCGGCACGTTGTACTGTAGCAAGGTCAGTGTTTAGAGGTGTACTTTGTAGCTCGGTATCTAGGGGAATTTCGAGTTTGGAGTGTCGAGGGTGATCAAGGCGATGGAGCCGTTTGAGAGGAAGTTGGGGACGGATACTTGGTTTTATGCCAAACGATGTTTGATTGCGATGATAGAGACGATGGCGAAGCAGGTGAGAGAGAGCGAGAGAGACAGAGAGAGAGAGAGAGAGAGAGAGAGAGAGAGAGATAGAGAGATAGAGAGTGAGAGAGAGAGACAGCGAGAACGAAAACTTTTTCAGATGGTCGTAATGCGGGATGCCGTCGTCCACGAAGTGCTACAATTCCTGGACAAGGCTGAGGGTACGGTATTCTCGTAGTTTGTACAGTCACGTACTTGAGACGATAGAGACGCTCTTACGTAATTTTTTGCAGCGAACGGCCGCGAGATCGTCACCTCACTCGACGGACCCCTCATGGAATTGCAGCCGGTGCGTTAGAATTGATTTTTCAGGCCGATTTTGGAGGGTTACCGTAACCCCCGTTTTGCCGATTGACAGTAATCCATGATGAAAAAACCGGATATTTCAGATCGAATCGGCGCGAAAGACGGTACTCTACGAAGCGCGACAAATCAAGGCGTTGTTATTGAAAGTTATCAACTATTGAATGTAAAAAGCGTGTTCTTTATCTGATATCTCTCCCCTCTCGCCATCTCTCTCGTTCTCTCTCTCTCTCTCTCTCGCTCTCTGTCTCTCTCTCGCTCTCTCTTTCTCTCTGTCTCTCTCACGCTCGCCTCACACGTTTGGATATAAAAAGCGTAAAAATTTCAAAAATGTACTAATTTCCGGTTACTCAAAAAAAGTCAAGCATTTTACTCGCAATCAAAACCTACTCAACATTATATAGCATCAGTAAAGTTTCTAGGCTAACCCCCCCCCCCCCCCGCTAACAGCGCAGTACCGAAAATCCAGAAAATCTGCGACAATACCCCTAACAATCGAATCGAAATCGAAATTCATTTATTCAAAGATCAACACAAATTCGTGGTTCAGTTTGCCTTTGTGAAGTCGTAGAAGGCGGGCAGGTATTGGGGCGTCCTTTCGAACTTCTTGGGAGCTGAAAGAGGGATGGGGTTACGGTAGATTTCGAGAGAGCCCACTTTTCAAGCAGCTATACGGCGCCTTCCAGACGAGCTTCGAGACACAGATGAAGTACACAGAAAAGATGCCGAACAGAAAACCTGAAAAGAAAAGGAGTAAAGGCGGTGAGAAGGCAGTACTTTGGCATTATCGGGGGGGGGGCTTTTTCGATAGCATCCAATTTTCTCTAATATAACTAGAGAAGGGTTTCGAAACTCTTTTTTTGCTATTCCTGGACGTAAGAAATGTACACATTTTTGCGAACAAAATTTTGAATTTTTTAAACTTCTTTAAATAGTTTTGCCGCTGGAAATCTGGTTAAATTTTCTTAAAAACGCTATTAAAATATGCCTATTACGTAACTAAACGTTTCAAAGCTCATAGAAAAAAAATTTGCTTCCCCCGATAACGCAAAAGCTCCGTCAGATGTGGATTCAGACCTTGGATGGCAATGAAGACGATGGCCCATGTTGGAACAGCGGGATAGGGGGAAGCTGGAAATGACAAGGATAGCAGCGGTTCTTAGAGGAATCGGAGGGCAGGCTAGCAGAGATTCTTTGAGGAATCGGAGGGCAGGCTAGCAGAGATTCTTTGAGGAATCGGAGGGCAGGCTAGCAGAGATTCTTTGAGGAATCGGAGGGCAGGCTAGCAGAGATTCTTTGAGGAATCGGAGGGCAGGCTAGCAGAGATTCTTTGAGGAATAGGAGGGCAGGCTAGCAGAGATTCTTTGAGGAATCGGAGGGCAGGCTAGCAGAGATTCTTTGAGGAATCGGAGGGCAGGCTAGCAGAGGTTCTTAGAGGAATCGGAGGGCAGGCTAGCAGAGATTCTTTGAGGAATTGGAGGGCAGGCTAGCAGAGATTCTTTGAGGAATTGGAGGGCAGGCTAGCAGAGATTCTTTGAGGAATCGGAGGGCAGGCTAGCAGAGATTTTTTGAGGAATCGGAGGGCAGGCTAGCAGAGATTTTTTGAGGAATCGGAGGGCAGGCTAGCAGGGCTTCTTTATATCCTCACCAGGATCTGTATTTGCCTCTGTAATATCCGCGACGGGACCCCGTTGAAGTTTTGGCAGGTCCGACCCCGTTTTTTCAGCAAATAGTCGCTTCGGGTGGTAGACTCCTGAAAAAGGGCAAGTTGGCGGAGATTCTCGCGGACATCAAGATCACTAGTGATTCGGCAAGATGGCTGTTCTTCTCGCTTAGCGGGGGGGGGCTCCAGAAAATCTACCGTATTTCTTCGGGTTGTCCCGTTTGACGGGGGCTTGGCCGGCTGATTGCTAAAAATGGTATATGCAACCGTCCACTGATAAGTACCGTAATGCCAAGGCCGAGAAGAGCCAGAACAATCAGACAAACAAATAGAATAGACGACCGCATGACTCGTAGATAAGAGTAAGAAATGATGAAGGACGAGCTGGCATTTTCACTGGTTTTTCGCAGATTATGCTAATTAGCATCCGGTTTTTGGCAGTAGTAGTCTCAACTAATCGCTGCTAGCCTGCCCTCCGATTCCTCAAAGAATCTCTGCTAGCCTGCCCTCCGATTCCTCAAAGAATCTCTGCTAGCCTGCCCTCCGATTCCTCAAAGAATCTCTGCTAGCCTGCCCTCCGATTCCTCAAAGAATCTCTGCTAGCCTGCCCTCCGATTCCTCAAAGAATCTCTGCTAGCCTGCCCTCCGATTCCTCAAAGAATCTCTGCTAGCCTCCCCTCCGATTCCTCAAAGAATCTCTGCTAGTTTGCCCTCAACTTCCTGGCCCATGTCAGCCTATATTTTTAACAAAAAGCTTCATAATCCCTTCTTCACTTTCGTGATCAGTGAGCAAATCAAATCCGTAAAGTGTGGTTATACCTCTATTTCCGGTCTCTCTCTCTCTCTCTCTCTCTCTCTCTCTCTCTTTCTCTCTCTCTCTGTCGCTCTCTCTCTCCGGGGGTCTCAACGACTACACGATACTAATTACGGAGTGGGAGGTGGGGGATGGATTTGGATTCTCAGGGGGATAATCCCTGCACACCTCCCGTCTCTACTTATTATACCGTACAGTTGGTGGGAAAGAAAAACAAGAAAAAGTAAAGTTGCACGTTGGCTGGCTACAGTAAGAACAAGTACCGTAGGCCCTTGGTTTTAAATATTATTCATGATGGTCCCTAGCTGGATGAAAATCTGGTATTCATCGGGAGGGGGGGAGAGACGAATCCCTAGAATATTTTGCGAGGGTTGCTGACGTCTAATCCGATGAAAATTGAAAGAGGGAGAGAGAGTAGAGAGAGAGAGAGAGAGAGATATTCACGAAATCCCGGAAATAAGGCTTCATGCGCAACCGATTGTAAAGGTTAATTAAAGCATCAAGCCTTAGATAAACTTGGGCGGATTTCTCCTTCTCTCGCTCTCTCTCACTCTTTCCCCTCTCTCTCTCTCTCTCTTCCTCTCTCACTTTCTCCCTCTCTCGCTCTCTCGCTCTCTCTCACTATCTCCTTCTATCTCTCTCTCACTCTCTCTCCCTCTCTCCCTCTCTCACTCTCACACTCTCTCCCTCTCTCCCGCCCTCATTTGCATTTTTTTATTTTTACAAAATTTCCACAACTAGCTTGCCATAATCCCGACTCCTGAATTGTCTCTTCCAGCTTCCCCTGCCGTTCAAACATTTCCGCGATTCCCTCGAAAATTCCGATTCTTCCCCGTCCGTCATCGTCGTTGTTGAGTGTACTGTGTATTCAGGCGGAGCGTGATTCACAGAATACAGAAACAGCAGCCCCTCCAAGTCTCGATTTTTGATTCAGACAATGCCAAAAACTTATTTTCGGCGGTTCTTTGAAGAAACTTGCTGAATTTTATCGGCTGCGGTATTCTGATTACGGTAGCTTTCCAAGGCCGCCAATCTCTCCAAGGATCTCTGCTAGCCTGCCTGGATCCGTATATTCAATCCCCTGTCACCCCACCTTTAAAACGAAAGTTCCGGGCGGCTCCTAACAACACTTCACTGGATCGCCAAATTACGCGCGTATTTTTGGCCGCTGGGGCCGCCTGACTGCTATAGTCAGCAGTGGCTAAAAAGAGCACTAATAAGGGAGGCGAGAGAGAGAGAGAGAGAGAGAGAGAGAGAGAGAGAGAGAATCAGAGACATGGCCAATCATCAGTGGGTGGCTCACCTGCCCCCCTTCAAGGCGTGCGTGTCCCGAGTGGAATTAGGGAGGATACGAGACCGGAAATTACCCGCTAAAATAGCAAATAGCCAATTTTAAGCTGATTTTTACGGTATTTCTGGCCTACGGTAGTCGTGAGGGGACCCTGAAAATCAGGGGTTTCGTGGTGATCACCGGTTAATAGTGAAGGGTGAACTTCGAAGTCAGTAGTTGGTAAAGGTGAGTTAACGGGGGGGGGGGGGCAATTAAAGGGCCAGACCAAGGCAATAATACGGATTTGTTAAGTTTTTGTAGGCTAATTTTAAATTTGAAATGGCTAACGGAAAAATTATGAATTTCAATAAAATTAGTGTTGAGCAGTTTTGTCGAAATTTGCTTGTTTTTGCTATAACTATTTATTTTACGATATTTTAGGTTGAAACCAAAAATTTTTGGTATATTTTTAGATGCTTTTTTCGAACTGCGTCTTCGAAAAAACAGAAAAAAAACGTCGAAAATACCGAAAATTAGCTTTTCGACGCCATTTTCGGAGGTGTTTCTGTTTTTCTTGATTTGTTTTGATATTACATTATTTTGAGCTCAAAATAAAAACATAGTATATTTTTAGTAATGCTCCTTTGTCGAATGATTCCACCAAAATACCGAAAAAAAATGGAGAAAATGCCGAGATTAGCTTCTAAAGCCCTGTTCAGACTTTTATAATACAATATTTTCTATTAGAAATTTATAAACCATTATTTTATAACCGATTAGTTTTGCTTCTTTTTAAAATGATCTAGAAAAACCCCCGAAAATCCCGAAATTAGCGAATTTTTTAATTTTTTAAGTAATTTTTTAAACCTTAGCCTGCGTAGGTGGCGGTAAGCTGGCAGTGACAATTTGCGGATTTGAGAGGCTGACCAGCGGATTTGATGATTCGTCCTCTAAAATGACTCCTGGTTCGGATTACGGTGTTAGGGCGCGTTTGTGGAAATGTCACGACAACGCCGGCGGCTGAAAAATAGTGATTGTCAGGTTGGGGCGACTTGGAAATGCATCGTTTCTGGAACCTGCAGGGTCATTTAAGGCATACGGTAATGCCAGTCACGTTCTTGTGCTTTTTAAAGGGATGGTGACAGCAGAGATACGCCTGGTTTTGCCTCGTCAATGCCTTTTGACGGAACTTTACGACCCAATCCGCACGGACGACTCGGCGGGTTGCGGAAATTTGCCTCATTAGCATCGAGCGTGTAGAGGAGCGTCGTGTAGTTGGCACAGGAAATTAGGGTACGGTGGCTGAGATTTATTTCCGGAGTACGATAAGCTGTGTAGCCTGCCCTCCGATTCCTCAAAGAATCTCTGCTAGCCTGCCCTCCGATTCCTCAAAGGATCTCTGCTAGCCTGCCCTCCGATTCCTCAAAGAATCTCTGCTAGCCTGCCCTCCGATTCCTCAAAGAATCTCTGCTAGCCTGCCCTCCGATTCCTCAAAGGATCTCTGCTAGCCTGCCCTCCGATTCCTCAAAGAATCTCTGCTAGCCTGCCCTCCGATACCTCAAAGAATCTCTGCTAGCCTGCCCTCCGATTCCTCAAAGAATCTCTGCTAGTCTACCCTCCGATTCCTCAAAGAATCTCTGCTAGTCTACCCTCCGATTCCTCAAAGAATCTCTGCTAGCCTGCCCTCCGATTCCTCAAAGAATCTCTGCTAGCCTGCCCTCCGATACCTCAAAGAATCTCTGCTAGTCTACCCTCCGATACCTCAAAGAATCTCTGCTAGTCTACCCTCCGATTCCTCAAAGAATCTCTGCTAGCCTGCCCTCCGATTCCTCAAAGAATCTCTGCTAGCCTGCCCTCCGATACCTCAAAGAATCTCTGCTAGCCTGCCCTCCGATACCTCAAAGAATCTTGCTAGCCTGCCCTCCGATTCCTCAAAGAATCTCTGCTAGTCTACCCTCCGATTCCTCAAAGAATCTCTGCTAGCCTGCCCTCCGATTCCTCAAAGAATCTCTGCTAGCCTGCCCTCCGATACCTCAAAGAATCTTGCTAGCCTGCCCTCCGATTCCTCAAAGAATCTCTGCTAGCCTGCCCTCCGATACCTCAAAGAATCTCTGCTAGCCAGCCCTCCGATACCTCAAAGAATCTTGCTAGCCTGCCCTCCGATACCTCAAAGAATCTCTGCTAGCCTGCCCTCCGATACCTCAAAGAATCTTGCTAGCCTGCCCTCCGATTCCTCAAAGAATCTCTGCTAGTCTACCCTCCGATTCCTCAAAGAATCTCTGCTAGCCTGCCCTCTGATTCCTCAAAGAATCTCTGCTAGCCTGCCCTCCGATACCTCAAAGAATCTCTGCTAGCCTGCCCTCCGATTCCTCAAAGAATCTCTGCTAGCCTGCCCTCCGATACCTCAAAGAATCTCTGCTAGCCTGCCCTCCGATACCTCAAAGAATCTTGCTAGCCTGCCCTCCGATTCCTCAAAGAATCTCTGCTAGTCTACCCTCCGATTCCTCAAAGAATCTCTGCTAGCCTGCCCTCTGATTCCTCAAAGAATCTCTGCTAGCCTGCCCTCCGATACCTCAAAGAATCTCTGCTAGCCTGCCCTCCGATTCCTCAAAGAATCTCTGCTAGCCTGCCCTCCGATACCTCAAAGAATCTCTGCTAGCCTGCCCTCCGATACCTCAAAGAATCTTGCTAGCCTGCCCTCCGATTCCTCAAAGAATCTCTGCTAGTCT